GCATCCCTGGCCTCATGGTCCTTCATCATCACAAAGTGCCACAGCCTCTTGTGGGTCAGGCTGGTCCTCAGTTATGCCAGAGAACACATAGCTCCTCTTTCYCACCCCACAAACAGCTGGCTTGCCCAAGACATGATTAATTTCTCCAGCAGATCCTATCTTTGCCTCCATGTGTTATCACAAACTTTGGGACTGGTAAGGCACCTTTTAAGGCACCTGGATTATCTGGATTCAGGCATTAGTGATCTCTGTGGCATAGCTCAGGCCAGGCAGGTGTAAGGCAACAAGGGGTGTCCAAGCTGGGAGCTTAGGTGGGTGTGTGAGGGCATTTTGAGGACATTTGGCCTCAACCCTTTAGAGGGAAACTGCCCAAAACKGGAATAAGTCACCTGCTTTGGTGACACAGATGTGATGCATCGCTCATCTCGGAGCTGCTGATCTGATGTYGCTCTGAGCTGTCATCACCTGCTACAGCACCAGCATTTAAATGAAATGAAGCTCCATCAGAGCAAGAAAATGATTTTTGGCTGGTGGGCAGCCTGACACTGATCCCAGAGAGATGAKTCCTCCACAGAACTATTCAAGGTGCCACAAACACATCAAGGAGCTGCACGCAGAGGGCTGCCCCTCTCATCCCAGCAAGCTGGGCACAGGCACAGGGGTTTCCAGGCTAGCCATGGGTCAGAAGCCTCTCTAGGGCTTGTGAGGACTGCATTGCCTCTGTGCACTTCCCTGAATATCCCCCCTGGAGATATTAAAAAGCTGGACACAGGAGTAGCATATTCTAGGGGCTGTAGGATTGGACTAGATGATCTCCAGTTGTGTCCCCCCCCCGCCCCCTTAACTCTGGGATTTTGTGATTGCCTCCTGGGCTGGAGAAGACAGCTGTTTGGACAGGGAGGATAAGCCATAAAAAACATCCAAGATCTGGCTAACTAACCCCTTTTCCTGCAAAATCAAAGTATCCCAGTGGGGGAGGAGAATCCCTGTGTAGGCTGAGGAGCACAGCTTGGGTTCATTAAGCTGGGAGAAARCCTTGCTGATCACAGAGCAATGTTGCCCTTGTGCAGGTACCACCAGACAGGTGATGAGGAACAAGGATCGTGGAGGGTGCAGTTGGTGGTTCTCATGAGGGGCAAACTTTATATCCTCATTGTCTTTGCTGTGGAAATGTCCTGAAAGTTTGGCTAATGAAAATGTCAACCCTGCCTTTGTACTGGGGAGTGAAAACAAAAGCTGGAATGTGGTATCAGAACTCAGTTTTAGTCATGGATTAGTCTCTGCTGCGGCAGACATTGCTATCCAGGCAAAAAGCAGATTAAATCCATGAATCCAGTTTTCTTCAAGTATCTTATGGGCAATGTTTGTGCTTGTTGGTTTCAGCGCAAATGTGATCCAGGACAACACTTATGGCTTGGAAAAGTGGGAGAAGATGTGCTAGCATAGTAATCACTAGTAGAGCTTCTGGCTCTGCACAACTCCCTGACAGGAGGGGGCAGCCAGGGGGTCGGGCTCTGCTCCAGGGAACAGGAACAGGAGGAGAGGGAACGGCCTCAGGCTGGGCCAGGGGAGGAGCAGGATGGATATTGGGAGAAGTTTCTTCAAAGACAGGGTGGTCAGGCTTTGGAAGAGATGTTCAGGGAAGTTTTGGAGTTCTTACTTGTGGGAAGTGTTCAACAGCCATGTGAGTGTGGCACCAGGGGACACGGTTCAGTGGTGACACAATGGCTCTGGGTTAACAGTTGGACTCACTGATCTTAGGGGTCTTTGCCAACCGTAACAATCCTGTGATTCTCTGACACTGCTAGTGTGAGAGCCTCTGTGGGATTCAAAGGGAGGAGTGCCTGCTTTTGGTGCTGGTTGTGATGAGTTACCTGGATGAGAATGCTCAGCCCACATTTGCAGGATAATGCTGAATTTACTCTGTGTATGTGAGACCAACAYGTGGGCTTGGAAAGCAGCCCCCAACAAGGCCCTTTGCACCTAGAGGCAATGAGCAGGAGAAGGTAAACTCAAATATGAGTAATTTAAAAATGTGACGTCCTGTTTTGAGCTGTTATTTGTTTGCCAGGGCTTTCTGGGGTACACCAGCACCCTGCTTGGTGAGGACTGGCTCTTTGCTCTGCAGGCTGGCTTGGTTGTGCCAGCAGTATGATTGGATAACTGCTAATAAGCATAGGATTGCTGAAGTATTCCCCAAAGTCTTTGCTTTGCTGTAAAAATCCTCATCAGCAATTGGATTAGTTGTAAAGAATGAACAATTACTACACAGGGTGGTGTGTTATGTTAGGACAAATTGATGGCTTTTATTTAATCATATGGTCCCAGTCACATCTTGATGGTGTTTTTCCTATGAAGAGAAACACATCATTGCACCAGTAGGTACAAGCAAAAAATACTGAAGAAATGCTTTATTTACTTAATTAGTTCCTAGAGATAAGGCAAATTAACTCTGTACCAGAAACAGAATGAGTTAGGTCTTTGCTTTTGGACACGTTAGCTCTGTGTGTCTTCCTGCACCCATGCCACAGATAAATTTACGTGTTCTGGCCCTTGAGAAAGCGTGAGACCGAGTTCCTCTCAAGGACTGGCTTTGCACGGGGAGGTAAATTCAAACCAAAACCATGAGCAGATGATCTGCCCACTTGGTGCTCTCTGGTTCCCCATGGCTCTGGCACCAAAGGCCCTGCAGATGTTTAACCCCAASACACAGCAAAAGGCTGGAAATTACTGGCTGAGGTTACTCCAGGCACGGAGAGACAAGAGAGTGGATGAGAGACAGGTGTTCTGTGCTTTCCTTACGTGCTAGAGGAGGTAYCCCAGGAAAATGGGGGAGGATTGCTGAGTTTCCCTGTCTGGTATCGCCCTGGGACATTCCTGTCTGATACAGGGCTGAGCTGCTGCCTGATGGCATGGGCTGGTGTGCAGGGGGATCAGCACTTTCCCCCGCCCTCACACCTTGTCCCCAGGCCCTGTGATGGCCTGGGGTGACCATGGTCACTTGTGACCTGCTGCAGCAGTTTTCTATCACAGGTGGTCTGATGGGACCATAGGATCTGACCATGTGGCCACAGAGTTTGGGCAATTCCCCATGAGCTGCTTGGTGAGTACYGAGCAAACACAGCAGCCAGGAGGCTTCTCCTCACAGTTCCCTTCAGCAATGGGCTGGGGAAGTGCAGGGTCCCCATTCCATCACTCAGCTTTTACCTGTTTGTGGTGAATTTGGGCCAGACCTCCAGCAGCAAATACAACCTGCAGGGGAGTGGGGTGTGTGAATGGCTCTTTGGCCTGGGTTTGCAGCTCTGCTGTTAGAGAACAGCAGGTCTGATCCCACCACCTCTGGTTTTAATTAATATCATGGTCAAACCATGCTGTTACCTGACAGCAGGGGAAATTATCACCTCACGAAGCGCTGCTGTGGGTGGCAGGTATTGTGCTACCTGCTCTCTCTCAGAGGGGCACCGTRCAGGATTGGTTTGTATTTAAGACATGATGAGTGTAATTATGCACAGTTTTGCAAACCATCCATTTCTGACAGGATGCTGTTTCTCCTGCTGGCATCTGGCTCGCTGCATCTCTCCTATTCCCACATGGACATGAGCAGCTGTGATGGACTCACAGGGAGGTGTGAGCAGGAGGGATCTGGGYTAGGAAGGCAGGATGTCCATGCCTGTGCCTTGAGATGATACAATGYCCCTTGGTGCTGTTGTTCCTGGGTGTTTTGCACCATTCCCAAAGATTAAAACACAGAGAGAGAGAAATGGGATGTTCCAAATGCTGTAAAAGGCTAGGTGCCCCATCCTGGGCTGATCCTCAGCAGAGAGGCATCTCTAATACCCTTGCTTGAGTCACATCCTCCATCTCTGAGTTGACTTTTTCCCTACTTTAAGAGCCAGAAGTTTTGCATGATACCTGTGAGTGCCCTAGGAATGTAGGAATTAACGTGCCGGGTTAGGCCAGGGGCCTGTCCGAGCGGGGATCTCGAGCAAGGTGCAAGCCGGTGCCAGATGTTTTAGAAAACGCCTCCACGATGGATATCTTTCACACCTCATTTCTTCCTCATTCCCATCAGCTTCATGGCTGGTCTCACAGCAGCCAGTGTTGTGTTTCCAGCAGCTGCTCTGTCCCTGCGTGCAGCTCATGAGGACGGGCTGCTATGGATCTCAGCAAACACACATCCCCGCTCTCAGAGGTGGAAGYTGTCTCATTCACGTCCTGAAGTCAGCGTGAGGCAATGCTTTAGAGCAGAGATTATTTCCTTGCCTATGAGGCGTTTTTAGAGAGGCAAAGAAATACCTTGACTCGCAGGCAATGTCTGCAGTTCAGGGAAAGCTTTCAAAATTTCAGTGACAAAATATCCCAAAAGTCAAGTTATTTTAGAAAACAGGTTTTTGTTGTTTATTTCTTTTTCTAAAGTATTGAGTCTATATCATGCAATGGTTTGGGTTGGAAARGACATYTAAARGTTGTCTAGTCGAACCCCACTGCCRGAAAAAGTTGTTCCAGCCCTCACCCTCCCTGGCCTCGAACACCTCCAAGGTTGGGGCATCCACAGCTTTTTTGGGCAACCTGTGCCAGGCCCTCACCACCCTCAGCACAAAAAATATATTCCTTCTGTCTGAAGGACTGAATCTCCTCTCTTTATCACCCATTTTTCCATCTCCACAGGCTCTATTAAGACTTTTTTTCTGTTTAAGACAGCAAAGCCAAAACAAGCTCGAAGCAGTTTYCATCAGTACGCACTTCAACTTGGAGCCAAAAAAAAGAGACTTTGAACCTAAATCTATGTTTTGGCTCCAACGTTTCTTGGAGGAGAAACGCCATTAGTCAAAAATCAGCAATTTTTCCTTGTAATCAGCTTTCACTGACCCGCTCTCTTTTATGTGTATTTTTCTACAAAACCCTCTGGAAGCGGAGCGCAGCAGCCACCGCCCCCCGGCGGGGCGGCCACGGGGCTGCTGGGCGCCGGCCCCCGTGACGGCTGTGCTCTTCTCTTCCAGGTGCTCCCTTTCAAAGGTCTCAGCATCCCCATGCTACCTCCTGCCGGCACTTCCACCTGGGTCCCCAGCCTCAGCTGTCCGCCGAATTCGCCCTGCCTCACGCGGTGCAGCCGCAGCCGGGGCTGGCTCCCCACATGGCGCCCGCGCACCAGCACAGCGGCGCCCTGCACCAGCCCCTGCCGCCCGTGCCCGCCCTGCCCTTCCAGGACGTCGCCGGGCCCTCCTTCCTACCTCAGGCGCTACACCAGCAATACCTCCTCCAGCAGCAGCTCCTCGAGGCGCAGCACCGCCGGCTTGTGCCCCATCCCAGGTAAGGAGGGTCCTGCTCTTTGCTGAAGGATGTGGAGATGCCGCGCCGGCCTCGCCTCGCCTGTGGAACCGCGGCCCTGCTGCCGGCGGTGTGGGGWTTTCTCCCCGAGATCGCCTTTCAGCGTGTGCTGAAAATACARCCACCAACAGGGAGGCTGCAGGGCGGGCTGCACCTGAAGGTGTGCCATTCCTGTGGGGATCCCTGCTGTG